TTTCTTAACAGGCCTTGAAATAACCTTCAAGGTCATCATCATGGTCAAACACGAAACTAGTATAAAATTCTTCGTTGTAATTACTTTAAGAATGACCTTGACCTTTAAAATATCTTGTCTTGAAAAGATATTTGGAACTTATTTAGATTTAAATGACATTATAAACAACTAAATAATCGAAATATGAGCTCAATACAGATTTAAACGATAGATTAAGATTTATCGCTTAATATTTTTTCGATGTCAAGAATAAGATTTTTATTTAAAAACAATGTCTGACCGTGAAATGACCTTGAAGATTATTGCGAAGGTTAAAGTCAAGGTTACTATTGTATTGCTGGTTTAAAGTTACTTCAGAAAGATCTGTTGAGAAAATTTAGTTAGAGTAAATATCGGACTAGTTTGGGTATTTTTTTCAATCTACATACGAGGGGGGGTCAATAAATCTTTATATAATCCAAGAGATGGCGCTCGTCACGCTTAAATTATGATGTTTATGGCAAGCAATACTACTAACTAGATATCGTACAAAGTTTCAGCTCGATTCATTAAGTCATTTTTTTGTGAGCGTTGGTTGAACAGAAAGTTTTTGGTTTATTTGAAAAATGGTAAACAGAGTTTAGAGCGGTGATAAAACATTTTCATTTAAAAGGCCTTACATATAAAGAAATCACAGTTGAGTTGAACGCCGTTCATGGCAAGTCTGTGTTTAAGACTGTTTATAACTGGGTAAATGAATTTAAACGAGGCCGTACAACATCAAAAGATGAACCTCGTTCAGGACGCCTCTTAGAAGTGAGTACGCCCGAAATAGTCAATAAAATCCACGGTATGGTGTTGAGTGATAGAAGATTAAAATTGTGAGAATTAGTTGAGGTCACAGGGTTATCAAAGGGTACAATCATTTCAATTTTGCATGGAAAATTGGGGATGAAAAAAATATCAGCAAGATGGGTGCTGCGTTTGCTCACTGTTGAAAACAAACGAACCCGCATGGTCACCTTTGAGGCTCTTTTGGCACGTATACATCGTAATCCGGAAGACTTTTGGCGTCGACTCATAATTGTAGACGAAACACGGGTACACCACTATACTCCTGAAACCAAAGAACAGTCCAAACAATGGATTACCGCAGGAGAATCAGCCCCAAAGAAGGCAAAGACAGTAAAGTCAGCCTGCAAGATTATGGCCACGGTTTTCTGGGATGCGTATGAAATCATGTACATCGACTACTTGGAAAAGGGCCAGACGATCATTGGACAATATTATGCGTCATTATTAGATTAGCTGAAAGAAAAAATCAAAGAAAAACGTCCTCACTTGAACAAAAAAAAATGCCTCTTTTTGCAAGACAATGCTCGAGTTCACACGTGTGCAGTTTCGATGACAAAAATTAACGATTTAAAGTTCGAATTAATTGACCATCCACCATATTCGCCTGATTTGGCTCCCAGTTACATTTTCTTATTTTCTAACCTCAAAAAATGGCTTGCCGGACAACGATTCGCGTCGAATGAAGAAGTCATCGCCGAAGCAAATGCCTATTTTGATGGTTTTCAGAAATCATATTTTTCTGATGGCTTAAAAAAACTGAAAGGCCGTTTAATAAAATGTATCGACCTTCAAGGAGATTACGTTGAAAAATAAAAAAAAATTACATACGCAAAACTTTTTTTCCTTCTTTTTCTAAAGACTTATTGACCCTCCCTCGTAACTATAAGTTTTGACTTAGTCAGGAATTATATATCATTACCGTGGCAGTTTTACATTATTCCAAAAAGGAATAACTTTTGTTTGAGACCTGAAAGACTTAAATTGGATAAAAATTACGATCTGTAGCGATTTTTGTCTAATTTTGAGAACTGTGTCTCGGTCCGGGTTGCTGTGTGTGATAGTGTACGTCCGGAAGTGTAAGGATCGTGCGCATCGATTTGGACAGGTCCTGAGAGGTGTTTTTTCGCGAGGTCTCGAGGCTAATCGTATTTTCTTATGTGAGCTAACGGCAACAGCTGATCGGGCGTCCGCGTCTTCGTGTCGGAAGAGGATTTCGCGTCAGCCCTGTAGGTCGGGCTTTTTGTGTGATGACGCAATATCACAACTTCATTCAATATCTCCTAAGCGATGATCATGCGACGGTTCTTTTGATCAAAATTAAGCAATTTGGGAAAGAATTTCGCTGACACACGTCTCATGGCTAAAACATCTGAAAGAATATCATGGTATGAGCCAACCAATATGCCAACATCTTCTTCAACCTCTCTGATGGTGATTCAACGATTTTTTAACACAATTTCTTTCACTGCTTTAACGTTTACATCTGTTGATGTGCTGGGACGTCCTGGGCGAGGTTCGTCTTCAACATTCTCTCAGCCTTCTTGAAACAGTTTATACAACTTATACACATTTTTCTTACTCAGAGTAAACTCATCATATGTAATTGTCAACATTTCAAGAGCTTTAGAACATCGGATTCCATTTTTCACACAAAATGTAAAACTCTTTGCTCCATTCTTTTCGATAGAAGAAAATCGCCGAGATCACCGACCACTTCTAACCTCTGACGCCTCTGCCAGAAAAACAATACGTGCTATATAGTCACAACTATGAATATATGATCGGGGCGAGTATACCAACACAACAACAAAAATTTTAAACTTGAATGTAGGTAGCTCGCGAAAATTGAAAAGTCACCTTACTTTTTGAACACCCCTCATATATAGGGTGGGCCATTTTAAATGGACCAGTAGGTTTTCTCGGAAACTATGAGAGATAGCGAAAAATACTTTAGACAAAAGTTGCTCAACTTCGACGGGGCCACATTCCTATGACCTTACCTTTGATCTTGGAGGTCATGTTCAAGGTCATTTGAAGGTCAACTTTGTTTTCTTACATGGTAACCCCTATTTTTGACCCCGGATTCGGAAAGAGCGAGAAATTCTACCCAATTTTTGTTTAGGCCACAAATAAGTGTGCAGTCTATTTTGCTCTATTTATTCAAGATCATAAATGAAGAAGATAAGTGATTAAAGTATTTTAGCTTTATTATCTATTTACATTTATTAGATTTATTTACCAAGTTAGTCAATTGTTACAGTAAGTGTTCAAAAACATTCCCATCTCCTTGAATGTATAATTCGATCCTCCGATGAAAATTATCTACTGTCCTCAGTAGTACATCCTGTGGTATGCTCTGACATGCGATCCTGAGCCTGTCCATCATGTCTTCTCGGGTCGTTGGTTGTTCTTGATAAACGACATTCTTCAAGTATCCCCATAAGTAAAAGTCAAGACATGTTAAATCGGAAGATCGTGGTGGCCATACAACTGGTACATCACGATCGATCCATCTACCGTTGAATCTGATGTCCAGGTAAGCTCTAACATTTCTGTGGAAATGCGCAGGAGCTCCATCTAACTACATCCACATTCTCAGTTTTGTTTGGAGGTCTACTTCTTCCAGTAGTCCATCTAGTTCATTTTATAAAAATTGAGAAAAGTTTGCTCCATTGACATTTCCCTCAAAAAAATAAGGTCTAATCACATGTCCATTGATAATGCCACGCCACACGTTGATGCTCCAACGATGCTGATGATCTACTTGTCAATACCAATGAGGATTTTCAACTGACCAATAATGACAGTTGTGCCTGTTGAGCTCCCCATCATTTTTGAATATAGCTTCGTCAGAGAACATGACATTATGGAAAAAGTCCTGTCATTTTGAATCATTTCTTTTGTCCAATGACAAAACTCCAGTCGCCTTTCCACGTCATGTGGTTTGATGGCTTGAGTGGAAGTGATATGATATGGTCGGAATTTTCGTTTTCTCCAAATTCTAAGCACAGTTTGTTTTGGTATTCCAGTTTCTCTTTGGATTTGTATACAACTAATATGAGGATTCCCATGAATAATTGCCAATATCACAAGCACGCGAACATAATTCTCATCGTAAGTATGATGTTTTCGCGTACGAACTAAATGTCCTTCTTGAACTTTCACATGAATCCTTCGAATGGTGTTATGATGAGGGTGTCTTCGGTACGGGAAATGTTCTTGATAAAGTCTTGCAGCTCTACGATAATTCCCTCCGGCTAGACCAAGAATGAAAATAATATCGACGCGTTCATGTGCAGAATAATCCGGCATGGTCCAAAAAAAGGCTTTTTATTTAATTTTTAATAAAAATTTGTAACAAATAAATTCTCTTCAATGAACACAAAATCGTTATTCAGTGAAATAAGCGAATAAACTAAGCTGCAGTATCGATAAACAATTTTTGTTTTGTGGAAATGAAAAGATTCGATATGCCAAACCAGACAATGACAGGTACACGTATGTCAAAGTACATAAAGACACTTTACGGTAAATGTTACTTTTATTGGATAACATGGATGATTAAGCTAGAAAAATGTACGACCTTGCGCCTACATATGATAAAAGAGTTATTGGGTTCAGCTCTTTCCGAATCCGGGGTCAAAAATAGAGGTTCTCATTTAAGAAAATAAAGTTGACCTTCAAATTACCTTTAACATGACCTCCAAGGTCAAAGGTAAGATCATGAGAATTTGACCTCCTCAAAATTAAGCAACTTTTGTCTGAAAAATATTTCGTTATCTCTTATAGTTTCCGAGAAAACCTACTGGTCCACTTAAAATGACCCACCCTATATTTATGAATAAACAATGTCGTCGACTATGTCATACATAATGTCATGGGAACATTTTATTTTTATTTTTTAGTTATCAAATTTTCAATTTCACCTATAAAAGTTTTGATCTAATTTGTGCATTAAAATGAATACGAAGATAAGAAGAATGAGATGGTAGCGCGTAGCTCGCTGGATATCACTAGTGAAAGATAAAAGAAAAAATCAGATTGAACCGTCACACTATTTATCAGTTTTCATATAAACAACTCATATTTATCTTTTGTTAACACTTCTTTATTTATTAGTACATCATATTTAAGTATGCAATATACTTCTTATGTTTGCAAAATAGAAATATTGTCCTGCGAAGACACCCGATGTGGAGATTACGAACACTGCGTTGAAACAAATGGTGTACCAGTTTGCATTTGCATGCAAGGCTTTGATAAAACTGAAAACGGATGTTATCCCAGCAAAAGACGTAAGATACCATCATACTATAAATTATTATTTTTATTTATAAATAAATATGTTCATTAATCTAATATTTGGTTTTACGTTGCATAGTGCCTTGCAATCAAGCTAGCGATTGTTCTCCTTTGGCAACATGTGACTACAGTGAAGAGCATCAAGCTTATATTTGTACTTGTATTCCAGGATATCTTGGTAATTTGAAAATATGTTTTTTTGTATACATACGTAGAAATCAATCCGAAATAGCAATGTTTATTCAATCATTTTTTCATATATACAATGAATTCAAATTTCGAGCAAAAATTAAAGTTCAACTTTTCGTGCCCGTAGATGTTACAAAAAATTAAAAACCAGAATTGAAAATAAAAATGTTAAAAAATTGATTAGAGTCAAGTGGAGTTAACAATTAAATTTTTGACAGATAAATAATGATCCTTTAATGGTATATTACTCATTAATTCCCAAAGATAATTTTTATAAGTCTTAATACAGTTTTAAAAATGTTTTCGAAATAAAGCATTGTCTACAATACTATCACGTCGTGATCAGAATCAGAACAGGAACTAAAAATACGCTTCGTATGGAATATCTTCCATTTGTCAGACTCATTTGATTATGCGTTCTATTTATTATATAGGGATAGGAGAAGGAAACACCCCATGATTTTTTACGTAAAGTAGAGTTTTGTACACTTCAATGACATTTGTAATTTTTTTCATTCTTTCAGGTTGAATATTCAGTTTTTCGGCTTAATACTAAATCTGGTTTCAAATCGAATCAAATTTAAAAATTTCTATTAAAAATTCCTACTTTTTATTGCAGATTTAACTTCGACGAAAAATTTTACTTTCGGATATGATGTTACGTAATATTAAAATAATTAATTTTTCCGCCCTGAACAATATAACTGTTGAAAACTTAACTATTGCAAACTATTGAGGTGTTAAAAATATTTATGGGAAAGCCAAGTATATTTTTGCGAAATTAAGTAGAATATTTTATAGATATATTTAAAAAAACAATAATTAATTTCAGATGTAGAAAGTTTTGGTTCATCATAAATTATAACTACGAACTTTGTGAAGTATCGAGCTTTATAAAATTTATTGAACTTTCTTTGAAAATACAAATTTATTGACATTTATTTATTATTATTTTATTTATGTTTTTAGTATTTGTTTGTTGAGCGTCAGCTAAGGTCTTCAAAGAGGAAGTTGGTTAACGCCAAAAGTTACGGGCATTGTTCACTGTCGTTAGAAAATGGCTACGCCTTCTTGGTTTACATTAACCACGCGGGTCACCTATAACCGGGGAGATACGCAAGAAACCTAACCAATATTTCTTTCGATTTATGCGCATTCGGTTAACAGGATCGGTGAGATGCGCTTTGCTCAGACTCAGGTATTTAAAACTATGAACTCTTTCAGAATACTCTGAATAGGCTGTTGGTTCAAGGTGAAACGTCAATATGCCCGTTAAATTCGGCTTGTATAATTTCGGCGTATCAATGCATTAGCTCTTAACCTTCACAACCCAGCTACGATAACTATGAGGGAGGGTATGAAACTACAGGTTAATAAACAAATAAATGTGCAGTCATATCTTTATTAACAAACATACAGAGAACGATCAATGAACAAGTAGCACTTATTCATGAAGATTATACGTGGTGAAAGAAATGGATAATGGTTGCATTGCATATATCTCGGTTGAGTTACAAATCAAAAAAAATATAATGAATTTCGCACACTTCTGATCGAGCTTACAAATTAAGAAAAATATAACAAATACTGCACATTTCTTACTAAACTTTCACTCTTTCTCTCTCTCTCTCTTTCTCTCTCTCTCTCTCTCTCTCTCTCTCTCTCTCTCTTTCGTTCTTGGTACATTTACTCGAGTTCCAGGCATCCTTCCACCTTCTTATCCTTCAGGGCGGCCTCGATACACGTTGCCATTGCCTCCTAGTTTTCTTTACTCTTTAGTATCCTCGCCACTGTATTTTCAGGTACGATGTTGCCTATCTTCTGTTCTACTAGACATCTGTGTTCGTTCCAGTATCTACACACATAAAACGTAAGCTGTGCATCATCCTTGTCGTGTCCGCAACTCTTGCATGCTGGGATGTCTACTTTATTGTATTTGTATAAGTAGTATCTGAAGTAAGTAATGAGTGGTTGTGACAAAGAACGGCTACAACTTTCTCCACCTTCGAGTTAGAGCTGCCTATTAATCGAAACTATTATAGCGTTGCTGCTAGAGTATCGACGCAACAGTCCTGTTACCCGAGAGGTACGATGTGGGAGTTGGCATTTAACATTTGAACTGGCTAATCGAGACTTGACCAAAGCCCGCCTCTCATTATTATTTTTTTTTTTTACAAGGAGTTGCGGAATCCTTTTTGCAGATTCCCCTTAGTCTTTCTGACTAAGGGGTTATGTGAGACTCTCCAAATAGGCCTACCCACTAAACCGCCATCTTCTTGGTGTCCTTCCCCTAGCCAGGGACTATATTGATATTACTTCTGACTGGAGGTTCTGTCTGTGTTCGTTCGTGTCGTTTCTCCGTGTCTTGTTACGTCGCGTCACTTCGTCTGCTCAGTCATGTGTCAGGCAGCCGTCCGCGTTCTTACGTCTCAGTATAGTTTCCGTATAGGTAGCGACTAAGCGCCACCATTCGGATTCATGTAGCATGAGAGACACGATGTTATCGGGGGTGATGCTGCCGACCGTTTCTTCCAGTTCCTGTCTGAGTCTTGTCCAGCGGTCACACGCGAAAAACGTGTGTTCCGCGTCGTCTCGTTCGTGTCCACAGTACTTACAATCGGGTGTTCGTAGTCTGTTCATATTGTAGAGGTACCGTCGGAAGTACCCGTGCCCCGTCAAGAACTGGGTGACGTAGAAATTCACATCACCAAATTTCCTTCCGAGCCACAGCCTCAAGTCCCGTATCAATCGTCTTGTCCAGTTACCACCTCGTTCCTCTGTCCAGCGGCCTTGCCAAATGTCAATTGTCTTGTCGCATTCAGCGATTGCCGCGTTCTTTCGTCCTATGTCTGCGCTGCCTCCGTAGATCCTTTTGCGCTCAAAGGCTAAAAGATCCACGGGTATTACGCCAGCCACCACCAAAACAGCCTGCGCAGAGACTGTTCGGTAGGAGCAAGCGATTCGCAGTCGCCCTGTCTCTGTACCATCATCATCGTCTTACAGTATTTTTTTGTCTTCAGGGAGTCTGCCCATATTTCCGCGCCGTATAGAAGGATCGAGTGAGCTGTCGCCATTAACAGTTGTCGTTTTCCCGATCTCGGTCCCGTCATATTTGCCATCAGGCGACTCAAGGATGCTATCCTCTCTGCCGCTTTCCGTGTTGTTTTCTGTATATGGGGCTAGAAGTTCATCTTCGTATCGAGGGTCACCCCAAGGTACTTGACTTCCCTCTTGGTCTCTATCTCGCATGTCTCCACCCTCATGTGCAGTATCGTCTGTATGCATCTTATCGTGAGAAACATCAGTTCCGTCTTTTCTATTGCGAGTTGTAGTCCGTGGTCTGTCATCTATCGTCCAACTCGTCTCATGGTCTGGTTCAACGCCAGCTGCGCCAGCTCGGGAGACCTCTCCGTAATCACCACGTCATCAGCGTAAGCGACGAGGGTCACTCCGAGCGGCATACCAAGCCGAAGCAAGCTATCGTATAAACTATTCCAGAAGTCAGGTCCCAGTATCGACCCCTGTGCCACCCCAGCGGTGATCTGTCTCGTTACTAGTCCTTCGATCGTTTCGTACGTTATCCGTCTGTTTTTAGGTAATCCTCTACAACCCAAAGAAGGTATGATGGAATCCCGAAGTTGCTTTACAGCGCCTCCAAGATATTCACCCACCTGGCCGCGTTAAAAGCATTCCTAATGTCGAGCGTCGCCAGCAGCACTATAGGTCACGCCACGTGGCAGTGTCTGTCTAGTTCCAGGAAAGAGTCGATAACCTTTTGGATCGCTCCAATCGTCGATCGATCCCTCCTCAAACCAAACTACAAGTCTGAAAAACCCCCTCCGGTCTGTATGGCGTCTATCAGTCTCGGTCTCAGTAATTGTTCAAAGAGTTTACCAGTCGTGTCAAGTAAACTCAACGGCTGAAGGTGTGCCAAGATCGCTCCTACCTTTTGGAATAAGAACGAGCCTTGCCACCTTCCACCGGTCGCTGTACGCTCCTGTCGTCAAGCACGTGTTGTACAGGTTGAGGAGTATCTTCGGCCGTAGACGAGCCACGAGCCGAAGGATCTTGGCCGGTACTTCGTCTGGTCCCGGTGCTTTACCCGTCTTTATCGCATTCGTTGCTCTGGTGAGTTACTCAACGGCAAAGGCGGGAGGTATCAGTGCGTTTACGTCGTCCATCACGTTCGTCTTAATCGGCTGCGTCGGAAACAATCCGTCAACAATCCGTCCTGCTGTTTCCGCATCTTTAAGTTTCGGTGGGACTCGGGACCTTAGTTTGCCGGTCACGATCTTGTACCCGGTTCTTCAGGGATCCTCGTTCACCTCCTCGCAGAGCTTCCTCCAGTATCGCATCTTGCTATCCCGTATTGTTTTTGTCAGCGTCTTCCATGCTGTTTTGTATATGGCTTGAAGGTTTTCCCTTTCGGGTCCACCCCTGCCCTTGTCACTCGTCGCCGATTTTCCAGGCACATTCTACGTAGCTCGGCTTTCTCGTTCGTTCACCAGTATTATGGTTGTCTTTGTTGTACGAGGTGTGTTCAAATAATACCCGGAATTTTTAAATTTCGCGGGTCTGGAGAGTCCGATTCTCAAAATTTTTTTTTATTGTGTTGGTATACATGCCCCTGAAGTATGATAAAATTTTCAGCTATATTCACTGTTTACTTTGTCTGCGGTAGTCGCTAAGGTTTGACGTGTTTTTATGAGCTCGGCGATTTTCGTTTTTTAAAAGAAATGGATCAAAGAATTTGTATTAAATTTTGCGTAAAAAATGAAATAAAGTGTAACAAAGTGTGTGAAATGTTACAAAAAGCCTATGGTGAGTCTGCTATGAAAAAAACAAGTGTTTACGAGTGGTATAAGCGTTTCCAAGATGGCCGCGAAGACGTTGAAGATGACGAACGCTCCGGTCGACCCAGCACATCAACAATCGATGAAAATGTGAAAAAAGTGGAAAAAATGGTTCTGAATGATCGCCGAATCACTG